ATCTTTTTTTTAATTTTTGTGGAGTCTGTAATTAGACTGTTTTCAATATAGATATTTTGTTTTTTTACTGTGTCCATATGTTTTTGTAGGATACTTTGGATCATTTTAGATGTGTTTTCAGAGAAGTTTTAGTAGCGTCTTTATATTTTTTCTTTTATATCTTGTATTCTTCTGATTTTGTTTTCAGTATTATGTGCTTTAGTAATTTCTCTTTTTCCTTTTGGGAGTATTTGGAATATGTTAGAGAGTAATTCTGTGTCTACTATTTCTGATATAGTTTCTTTAGCTGATTTGTTAATTTGGATGATTTTTTGGTTATATCACTCTCTATCAATCTATGGTATATTGGTCTTTATGTGTCTCAATACAGACCTAATATTTGTGAAGGTTTTATGTGTTTTGGTTGCATAGTAGTTATGTTTTTTGATGATTGAATAATTTATCTTTCTTGTTGTATTAGAGATATCTTTTTTTGCTCTTTCTATTATTACTGCAGAGAGTTTATTCCATATTTTGTTTAGCTAATATATATCCTCTGTCTGTTTTTTGTCTGGCTTTGTAGTTGTTATATTATTGATTAGTTTTCTACCTCCTTATTGAAGTGCTCCCACTTTTCCTTAGTCATTCCATTGTAGTTGTATATTCTTCTTTTATGAGTACTCTTCTGTTGTATATGTAGTATTTTGTCTTGCGTGTTCCATTACATTTGTATGATATGATGATCACTGTCTGTAATATATATTGCATTAATGATTTGTAGTATTGTGAATTCATTAATTTGTATTGATAAGATCCATATCTCATCTATCTGGCTACTAGATCCTTTTGCGTTCTATGTAGATATATTTGGTATTAGAGTATAGAGTAATAGGAGCATATTGTTTTGCTCTATGTATGTAATGAGTTGGATTCTTTGTTTGCATTTTTTTAAATCTATATTGAAATCTTCTAAGATTATTGGTATCATCTCCTTGCTTATTGCCTGTTCTGTCCAGGTAATGATTCAATTTTAGGTCTTTGTATTTAATATCTTATTATTAGGTAGATATACTGAAATAATTCAAAGTTTCATCTTGTTTAGAAAGAAGAGATCCACACTTATTGCAGTATCTGGCTCTGTTTGAATATTGTAGATATATAGTTGGAGAGTGTATTTTATCGCTATTGCTATACCAAGGCTTGTTTCTCATCTCTTTGTATTTGTTGAGTTGTTGTTTGCTATATATATTTTGTACTAAGGGTTTTGTAGCTTTATTGTCTCGAATTTTGATTCTGCTAATTTTGTTTCTGTAATGCTAGCTATATCGATATCCTGTTCTTTGCAGTACTCTGGCCAGAGTTGTTTTTTTAAATTGTTGTTTAGACTGTGTATATTGTGAGTTATAATTTTTAAGTTGTTTTTTAGTAGTTTATTTTTGTTTTTATTAGTGCTTCTGTTGTTTTCTATTATTATTAAAAGATATTTCAAGATAGTGCAGGAAGTTCTAGTAGATTTAGTAAATAGTTAGAGATTTGTAGTATTTCAAAGTAGTCTTTAAGCTTATTAATCATTAGTGTGATTTCTTGTTGTATAGTAATAGGTAGTTCGATTTGAAGCTTAATTTCATTATTTTCTATATACTTTTAGAGTTTGACAAGCATAGATAGGATTAGAGGCTTTGTTTCCTTCTCTGTTTGGTTTTGTGTATTGTGTTGCCTTAGTTTAATATTGATCCACTCATCAGGAATTCTTGTAAAGTAATAGGTAGTCCTGAGTAGTCTTGCTGTTTTAGTTAGTAATTGTGGTGTATTGATGGAAATAGTTAGATTGAATTTCTTGATTTCTTTATAGTCATGAAGTAACTATAGTTTGTTGGTAGGGTTTGCAGTCATAATTTCTGCTACAATTAGGAGTCTTATTTTGTACTTCTTTTCAGCAGCTTTTATGAATTTTCTTGCTTCTTCATTGTCTGTTATTGGGTATATAAATTTGGTATTAAGATTGATTTTTTGTGGATCTTTGGATAGTAGGGGTCTTTGTTTGAAGTAGTCATTAGGTATATTCTTGAAGATATAGTATTCTTTTAGTATATCTTTCACTTCTTTGATTGTGTACTCTTCTATTGATAGATCTACTAGGAATATTTCTCGAACTCAGCTATTAAGCTTATAATATGTTATAGGCAGGGCTTCTCTCAGTGGTGGTAGATCAAAATATGTTTTTAGTAGTTGCTCAAAACTATAATAGTCTCAGAGCTTTTGTACATAGTAGTAGAATTGTTGCAGTTGGATTCTAGTATGCATTAGAAAAGCATATTTCATCTCAATTGGTAAATCATAAGGTGTTTTAGAGAGTTGAGGTAACTCTTTGAAGTATGTATCAGGTAGGCAGCTGAAGTAGTAAATGATTCTTAGTGTGTTTACTATAGCAGTTGTTTAAGACCTTTTTTTGATTGGTAATTCAAAAGGTAAGATATTTCGTATCTCTTCTGTGATTAGATTTGGTCTTTTAGGAAGTTCTTGAAGTTTTACACTTATTGCATCTTCTATTGCTTTCTGTGTTGTAGTGTAGTCTTCGATTTTTCTGCTTTTATGAAGTTTCTTGCATATTTTAGCTCTTGGTATATTTGGTACTTATTGAGTTTTCAGAAGTTTATATTAAGTAAATAGTCGATCATAATTTTTTGTCATAGTTTAAGTTAGATCGTATCTCTTACTTTCCTGTTTAACAAAATAATTTCGTTAGTTTATTTATATATCTGTATTGCCTTTGTTTGTAGGTCTATAAACTCTTTTTGGTATGCTAGTATTGTATTCTTCTCTTGTGTGAAGGTTATAAAGAAGGCTGTATCTTTGTAGATGAATTTTTTCTTTATTGCCTCAGGTATTTGAATATTAGTAGTCATTGTATTGAGTTTGTATTCTATGAAGTTTTTTATTCCTTTATTTGTATTGAGAGCTTAGATGATTTTATTGTAATTCTATATCTCTGTATCAAATTCCTTTATTATTGCATTTTCTATTACTTTTTTCATGTGTTGCTGCTAGTGATCTGTGTAGTCTGTATCTGTTTCTAAATACATGCTATTTTCTAGATTTTGTTGGAGAGCTTAGCTATATGAAGTTTTCTTGTCTTTGGTTTTTTCCTCTTTAGCTATTTTCTCTTGGTTGAGTTCAATATTTAAAGTTATTGTACGAGATGATCCTAAACTTGTTAGTTCTATAATTATGTTGCTAGTATTCCTATTTTGGCTGTTAGATGTTTGATCAATTTCTATTTCAGTACTTGTATCATCTGGTTTGTTGGTTGTCATTTCCTGTTTGTTGTTGTTGTCACTAGTGTATTGCAGATCTCCTGATTTGGTTTGGGTTGCTGTGATCTAATCCGAATTAGTAATTGTTGTATTGTTGTTGTTATTATTTTTTTCTACATACATAGAGTAGGTGGCATGGGTCCTTAGGCATACCCTAGAAGCATGTCTAGGAGGCATGCCCCTATTATATGATCATAATAAGGATTGTTATGAATATAATTAGTTAATTTCTGCATTAATAAATTGTCAATTCTGTTTGTAATTCTGTTTATAATAAAATTGAATTTTGCAAAATTCTATGAAGAAATCTCAACATTTTGCAACTAATTGCTTATTCTTCGAATTATTTCAAAAATCTTAGTTTGACCATACTTATATTTATATTCTATATTAGGAAAAAATTTTTTTTTGACCATGTACTTATAAATCTCTACTTTCTACGATATTTATATACTATATTCTTACTTTCTGCATGCTATTTTTGACACATTTTGTGTTTACAATCTGATTCGGTAATTTCTGATATTCTGTTAAATGTAAAAAATCATGTCCCTGAATATGATATCATGAAACCCATGTATTATATTTGTAAATCTAACTTATTCGAGTAGGCACTAATAAAAAAGGTTAAATATGATTGAGAGTTTGTCAAGGGTTCGAAAAAAATACAGTACAAGTTGAAATAAGAGGTCAAGATTTTATTAATATTTGCTGATGATATCTTAATAATTGTAAAGTTTTATTATATTATATTTATTTAAAGTAGCAGTAATTCTTTAATACAGCCATACTTTTGAGAACTCTCCTACAGAAGAAGACTGTTAATGCAGTAATATTACACATATATTTAAAACTAGTAAGGGATTATATCTATTACAATTGAATCTAACATAAATAATTTAATTTGTAGTTGATCACAGGTGAGAGAGATTTACTTTGGATCGGGCACTGTTTCTGCTGTACGGAAGACCTGTTAATACCTAAATGTTCAACAAAATATGCTTTGAAAGTACATATCATATTTGATGAATTTAATCTTAGAAATGATTTATATGTATTAGTGTAATATAAATAGCTTATCGAATTTGACCAAATTGACTTCAGCAAATTTTTTTAAGGTGTTCTAAAATTTATAAAAACAGCTGTAAACTATAAATCACGCAATAACTTTAAAAATTTTTTTAAAAAATAGAATATGCACAATAAACAATATTTATTATTATTATATTTCTTTATTTAACAATTGGCCTTCGATGAAAATAATTATCAGATGATTTTATGTAGCGCGTTATAATTTTTCAAACCCAAGTATAAAATTATCTAGCCTAATAAGTATATACACTATATATTAAAAATTTGGGCTTCAATAACAAAAATAGAAAATGATTTTAATTATTTAACTGTTGGGTTTTTTAGAATTCTAATATAACCTAATTTAGAATTGTCGAATTTGTATACACAACCTAATTGAGCATATCATGAAAATCTCAAAATCAATAACTACGTATTTAAAATAAATTATCATCTTGTAATTACGTATAATTAGACCATTATTATCATAATCAAGATCGTTATCAATGAATAACTACTAATAAAGAAAATGATTATTAAAATACTAATAACTAAAATATAAGAAAAAATTTTTCGAAGTCCTAAAATGAATATATAAAAAATGATATTGATATGAATCAGTGATAAAGGATTGATTAATATATATTATCATTTATCTGAATGTAAAAATAAAGAATTTTATTTTACTTATCTAAAAACAAAGGAATCATCATTCTATTTGTTTAAAAATTTATCTGCATCGTGTTATCTAATCAAAAAAAAA